TGAAAAAGAGAGATCGTAAACAACTTTCCCGGGAGGGCATCGCTACTCCGGCCACTCCTCCGGCACCAAGCGCCCCCAACAACACTCAACGAGATTCTTCTCCTCGACGAAGACTCTACGGAGGACTAACCCCCCCTAGTCCTGGCGCCCCTGTCCTCGCCTCCGCCTGGACTGTAGAGGGTACTTCTCCCATCCCCGCTACGCTCCCTCCCTGTTCTGCTTTGGCTATTTGGCTTGACGACTCAGAGGCTGTCCCGTGATAACATCACATTCCCGGGCTCCCCTTTGCCGTGTGGGACTCCCCAGTCCCGAATGGTACCCCGGGGACTGGAGACGGTCGGCTCAGTAAATGGCCGAGTCTCTCACTCACCCAATCCTCTACTAGTCGTGTCTAGCTGCTCTGGGCGAGCCAGCTTGTCTGCGCTCGGTGTCTGAGCAGCAACGCCTGGGGAACCCCCGTCCGAGTTTCCACGCCCCGCAGGTGGAAACTTGAACCCTGATGGGTTCTCGCAACTATGACCCTAATCATGGTTGCCGAGAGGACCATCTCACAATTTCCAAAATTAATTCCCACGCTCCTCACCTACAACTCAAGTACATCTCTACATCTCGCAGGTCATCACCTGCGTTCCGAAATGGATACCCACATGATGATGCACCGCATCAGCTCCTCAATGCCTCTCGAACAAGATTACCCTTAAGGCAACGATGCCCGTCCAAGACCACATTTGGCAAGATCGACAGCGGCAACCATGAATCACTAAAGCCAGCGACCTAGCCAAGATCAGCCATTGAACTGCCGATCGCAAGAAGGTTGTCTCTCTCTCAGCTCACAATTCTTCATTCAGCCGACGCTGAAGGCAAGAACCTAGATTAGATTAACCCACCTCTCCCTCCCTGGTTGCACGACTCAGGGCTGTCCCGTGGAACATCACATTCCCGGGACTCCCCTTTGCCATGTGGGATCCATCCGGGACTCCCCAGTCCCGAATGGTATCTGGAGACGGTCGGCTCAGTAAATGGCCGAGTCTGACTCTCCACTCACCAAATCCTCTACTAGTCGTGTCTAGCTGCTCTGGGCGAGCGCAGCTTGTCTGCGCTCGCACCGGTACGGCTGAGAACTAAGACGTACTGGTGCTATGCAGTACGAGTAGATGTGTATTCTGTCTAGGTTATATTATCATCCTTTGGTGTGTGCTGTGTTCTTTTGTGTGTTTGTTGTTCGCTGGACGACTGTAAATGTTTCTTTTGTGGTCGAGCACCATTGTAGTGTTTGTTTTCGATGGACGACTGTCAATGTTTCTTGTGTGGATGACTATCATTGTCGTGTTTGTTTCGCTCGAGGGACTGTCAATGTTTCTGGTTTAGATGCGCAGTCTCTTGCTGCCCTTGAAGCGAATGATGAATCGCTCACAAATGCAGGCGTCTAGGCGGGCTGGCAAAAGGAAGGCCACAGATTGGGCACGGGCCCGCCACCGGGAGACCAACGACGCAAGCTACCAATACGCACATTGCATGGCCGCAAGAAAGCCGCCTGTCTAGCAACCCAAAGCACACCGGGCATACGGCCCTGTGTTGAATGGCATCGTTCAGTCGCTCACTGAGAGCAACATGATGGACAGCCCATGACATATCCGAGTTGTGCAAGCGATTGTTCATCATGGACAATTCGTTCTGCGTCGTGGCCAAGCGGTTCTGCGTCGTGGCCAAGCGGTTGTTTGTCTCGGCTAATTGGTTCTGCGTCTCGGTCAAGCGGTTTTCCAGTGCGTCAAACCGCGCAAAAAGGTTGACGGGAACCAATACTCCTTTACGCTGTTATCGGCCTGGATGACTACGGCCAGATTGCCGTCAGGCAGGTTTGGGTCGGCTCGGTCCATGAGGGGAAGAACCGGGTGGACTCGATGAGCTTTGCCAATGCTGGCGAAGTAACCGATGAAGACATTATGAGGAAGCACAAAGAGGATAGACAGAGAGAGCTATTGTGTTTGTGTGTGCTGGTGTAAGAATCTTGAGATGGGAACATGCTGAACATAGACTGAAACAACGAACAACAACACGCTGAGTGGAGGGGATGGGCTTTGTGGTTGCTTTTGATGTCTCTTGGTTCTTCCGCGCTGTTCCTGGGAAAATAAATTTCCACACCCTCGGAAGTCTTCGCGACCTCGTTGTAAAGAGATCCATTATATAAATTTAGCTCTAATAGTATGAATGCCGCTCTTGAAGACAAGGAAGACGCAAACCTAGTTGGCGCGATGAAATGGTATAAATACCACAGAAATTGCCTCTCAGATACCGAGCAAACAAAGACATATTTTAAGATAATTAGGAATTCATAGGATTAACAGTACTGCCTCTACCCTGGACAACCAGGGAGCCATCATGGAATAAGTACACTCGGTCCTCCAGTTAGAGTAAGGATCCCCAGGCCTGTGGTTCGACTCCTGGTAATGGTCTCCAGGATTTAACCTCCACTTGGTTGAGAAACTAACATTGTTCCGGAACGTTCCCTAGAGTATGCCTAGTTAACTAATACAGTCCTCCTCATCGTTTAACAAGTCTGCAGTTGACATTCCTGCAGGGCTCCATGGAGGAATACGACAATTAAGCAAGGGTGCCCCTTGAGTACCCCAATGCTCCGCAGTATACGATTCGTTAGTAGGCTTGGAACCCGAACTCGAACGCCAGTTCCGGGGGAGTTATAGTCTTCAATTCCCCGTAACAGACCATCCTCGTAAAGACTTTGGGGGAGAAGTTCACCTCAAGCGGTGAGAATAGTAAGTCTCACTCGTAAATAGTATAAGACGTTCGCTAGATAACATATTAGCGGTGCTCTGGGGGAGTTCTCCTTCCCACCGTGACATTGCATGGGGAACAACTAGTGAATACGTCTAAGTCCTTCAGAATGCCTCTCCACATGCCACAGTTCGTGAGTTAAGAGAAGAACATGCTAGAACACCCACTCGTACTAGCAACTCGACAGTCAGCGCGATTCCTGCACAGGATCGCCAAAGAACACGTAAAAAGCGTAACACCGTACCGTTAGTATCGTTCGACAGTGCGCTCCACACAGTCCCGGAATTCTTCAAGCTTCCGGGGGAGTGTGTCATCGAGTTGAGAACACGTACCTACACTGACGTCAGTCGGATTCCGAATGAGAACCCGACGCACCTTCACTGACGTACGTACCCTGACGTACTAAGAACCCTTCCAGATGATCTCGAAGGCTAGCGCTTGAGTACAGGCAGCGCTAAAGCGTAAATAAATACCTGCATACACACCAGTACGTACGAATTAGTGCTGGGTGTCACCAACTGCTTGAGCTCGGGAGTCACATCTCGAGGAACCTGCAGAGTTGTTCGGCAATGGAGGAGCGATGAAATGGTATAAATACCACAGAAATTGCCTCTCAGATACCGAGCAAACAAAGACATATTTTTAAGATAATTAGGAATTCATAGTGGCGTGTCGGGATGTCTCGTCAACTGGACAAATGAAATGAAGCGCTGGGGCTTTGACAATGTCGACGACACGAACGCAATGTCGGCAAGCATGGTTACGGAGGTGTATGGCAAGTGCCACCTGCTTCTCGTCCGCTTGAATCCGGAGGGAGTAACTTCTTCCTGGTGGAAAAAGGGCCACTGCCATGGTGGCTTTCTTCGCAAGGAGGCCAAGGGATACAGCCCGACTGTTCAGCTTTATTCAGTGTGCCCCATCACAGCCAAGCACAATCTTCGTACCGTTTCTCACAAAACCAAAGGAGTGTTCAAACCCACAGCAGCGAGCTTCACCGTGGAGGACAATGGAGTTGGTGTTGACTGGTCTGATCTTGCCTGGGAACCGAATGCCAGTGATATGTTGGACCTGCGAGCGGGTATGGAGGCTCGGCCTGCAATAGCCGAGTTTGGATTTGGTGTGAGCGTCGGTCCTACCATCTATGACCCCAGCAACCCCTGCTGCCGAGCAGAGTATTCTTTTGACAAAGTTCGGAAAGCCCCCAAGCTCGAAAAAGGAATGAAGGTGGGATGGCTGTCTTCTTCTCTAAACTCTCCAAGCCCACGCAGCAGACGATTATGGGGAACAAGAATGTGAAATTACCGGATTTCAAACAAGACGACATTGAGAGATTTTTTGCTCTACCCGATAGACTCAACATCTACACAGGCGAGATTCTGTATGTGGGACAAAATTTTATTGAATCCGACATCAACAGTTTCACTGTTTGCTCGGGAGCCATTGTTTTTCTTCTTGACAAGAATCAGCCTTCATCGGTGGACGAAGCCGACTACGGAAAGGCTGTCGCAATTCATTCTGCTGCACATCCTGTATTGACTAATCAAAACTACGGTTTTTTGATCAATGAACACCCTGTTTTCAAGGGTTTATGAGTATCGCTGACTCTGGGGGGAAAGATTGGGACGGACATGATTGTTTACCTAGTCTAGTCTAGTCAAGTATCATAGCAGAGACACGCAGGGGAGTAGTCAGCTTTGTAACTAGAACACTGGAACAACCTGGTTCTTCCTTTGGAGACTGCGTAGTGCTGGAGTCCTTTATCGTCATGCCATATTTCTCCACGATTCACGCCCAGCTTTCGCAACTCATAAACTTAAGTCTTAAAGCTAATTGCCATACTAGCACCTGAGTCACTGCCAAGCGAGGCCCGGTTAGCCCACTTCAGACCCATTTTTGATATCTCCTCCACCACACAAACATCCCTTTCCATGCGGTCGTTTGCACCACACACTGATGTTAAAGTTGCAATTAGCTAGGGCTGCAAGTTGAACTCTTGTGAAACATCATCGTTCCGCATCTTGCAATAAGTTTCTTGAAGGTTCAGTTCCAATACTCAAGTAGTGGACTGGGTCTCGCTGAAACCCTTCCTCAGGTACAGCGGTAGTCAGGCAGTTCAGGGAGCCTTGTCGTGCCTCAGGAGTA